GTATATAAAATAATTTTAGAATTGTATGATAAATGACATCACATAATGATGTCAAAGACAGATTTTTTGGACATTTTATGCCTGCAACAGTAGTTGCAGTCCAAAAAATTACAATTTACTGGTATTCATATTATTGTGCGAGCCCACTGTATCACAAGCAAGGACAAATCTCACAGATAAATACCAACCATGGGTCAGGACTACTAGCCAGGGCAACAATTACTAATGGCTTATATTTTATGCACTGATTAAATATGATGTGTCTTCTAGGAAGAACTTGATGAGGTTGTTCTGACTTGGAATAACCACAGAGTCCGTCAAGTCCACAACTCACGCTCACCTCATGGACGTCCCTCCATATCGCATGCAGTCCCTCAACTGTACGGAGGCAGGGATTGTTTACATCATGTGGATATGGAGAACATTCAAATCTGCCTTGAAGAGTGTGTGTTCAAGGACTTCCCATGTGATGAAGATGTGTTCCACATCTGTGTGGACCTAATGTCAGAGTATAATCTGAATTTGACCAATGATGTGTTTGAAACAGTTAACCTGTACATCAGACTTAGGCAGCTGATCAACAATGAACTGGACCTAGATGATTAACTTTCTTAGGCCTGTGTCACTTTGTATATTCCCCTTTTTATGTTTTTCTCACAAACACAGTTTTCTTACATGTGTTTTGACCTGGGAGGAATGCTAATGTAATTGTAGTTACCTAAGAAATGTTAAAGATATACAAACTATGTTCAGTGCATAAAGTTCTTTGTTGAACTGACATTGACTACTTGTAAGAAGTGAGTAAAAATGCAAATTCACACATGTAGAAACATTCTTTTATTAAAACATTTCTATTTCACAGCATACAAAACTGCTATGTTTTTATTTTAACTACAATGTAATCTAACTTATACAGCGGCTAGTATATAGCAGTAACAAAGTTATTGACTTATGGAACAGTTGAGAATGCCTTGCTCTCTTTTGATAACCAGCAATAACAGCACCTGAAAAAATAGTGCTTGAGATGTGAAATGACAGGAGTATTAAATCAAAGGTACCTGTTTTGTTATAAAGAAATAACTTACATAAATGTGCTGGAAAAACACTGAACTCAAAATAATGAATGTACCAAGAAAATAACACAAATATTTCATTTGATAATGATTTTTTATCATAAGGTAATCTTTTTTAAATTAAAACAAAAAAAGGTTATGCAAACATGACGTATAATGACATTACCCTATTGTATCAATAAAAAAAGTATAAGTAGGTAAACTTAGAATTTGTTATGGTTTGGTCTTTTTCTAGTTTGGTTTTTCAGTGTTTAGTGTTTCTTCTAGTGTTTCTGTTCTAGTGTGTTTTGTTCATTCTTGAGTTCTGTGTGTTTTTAGTGTTTCATGATTTAGTTTTTAGTTGTCCTCTGTGTTTCTTGTATTCCTGCCTGTGTGTTTTCCAGTGTGATTGGCCTGATTGTCCTCACCTGTGTCTTGTTAGTCTCACCTGTGTTTGATGACCCCTGTGTCTATTTAGTCTCTGTGTCAGTTCATTGTATGTTGCATGTATGTTGTATGTGTTTGTGGTATGTCAGTTAGTCAGTTAGTCGTCAGTTTGCTAGTGTCTCTTGTGCTTCCTCGTGGCTCCTTGTTTTTTCGTGTTTTGGCATTTTGGTCTTTATTTTAAATAAATCCTTTCTTTTGGTTCTGCACTTGGGTCCACCTCCCGTGTTTTACTCATTGGTCCGTAACAAGAATTATTTGCCAAAGCAAGATGCAAGCTCTCTAATGTATCGACAATAGAGTGAAGCTTAAAGTGGGGATTTCCCAAAAACAAGACGGAGGCTTGTTGTTCTGTGTTTGTGTTATGGAGCCAAGTAAGATGTACAAACGGGATGTGGTGAGGTGACCAGGTGTAAATAGGCTGTCAGGTAATTACAGGTGTGGTTTTAGGCGTGATCCTGCTACCGAACGTAAGTAAATACATTAACTCCATTTTTCGGAGGAGTGGAGCAGACAAAAGATGGAGATATTATGCATTTGTGACCTTTAATAGTAAATTATTATTTTTTATTTACCCACACTCTTAGAAATTTCCCCTGTTAAAAAACAGTAAACAACTGGCAGTAGGGTTGCCAGGAAGTTACTGTAAAATTAACGGTATATTGCTGTTGCTGAAATTTACAGTTTTCTACCGTTTTTGTAAATACAGCAAAAAGCTGTGATTTTAAACCTTAACAGGAGAATACTGTTGAAAGAATTAACTGTTTAATATTGTTTATTTGCAGATTTGTACTGTGAATTGTAAATACTACACCTAGCTATAGATTAATTTCCTTCTACCAAAATGGATACAATATATTTATTTTATAAACCTAGTGATTTGATAAATTATTCCTTGCTTGTCAGGTTATAAAACATCATGTTTTAAAATAATAAATAAACAGTGCCTTTAAAATTGCAACTTAAAATGTTAAGACAAATAATAAAACTTCAAAGTGTCTTCTCAAACCACATCTGTCTTTATTTAAACTGTGACATAAACATACACTTAAAGAACATGAAGGTTAAATAGGCAAAAAATCTAGCACAAATATTTACATTAAGACATTTAGCAAAGGCCATTTCCAATGTATAAAAAGTGCATAAAAGAGTTTTGGTAGACACATTTTAAACAGAGAAGTGAAAATAAATTCTGTTATAGTTTCAAAACTGAATAAACAACCTGTCCTCTGAGGGAAATTGGGTCCCTGGACCTGCACCTCCCTCTGATTTCTCCTTCCAGACTGAAACTGCCACATAACAAGGATTCTGTAAAGGGAAAAAACAACATTAGAACAAAAGCAGCTCCAGCTGAACAGTGAACATTATCATATGGACAATCCTTTCTGAATATTCTCCATATACAAAGAAGTAAAGTCAAAGTATGAAGTAGAACTAGTATGAATAAAAATAAGTCCTGGTAGTACATGAATTCAGGATGTATGGCAGCAGCTTTATGTGTTAAAACAGTAAAAAACAAAAAACATGCTCCAGGTCCATTCTGACAGTCTCACTAAAGTTTCCTTTTATACATTTTCAAATACTGTATATTATACTATTTATACTATGGCCATATTGCCTAGTAGGCCCAGCTAATCATCATTTCTAATTCAATATTTAATCAATAGTCAGTGTCAGTTGAAGCTGAAACAAATATGGAGTGACTGTTGATGTTAGCTAACCTTACCATTACCACCAGGCAAGCAAGTCAAGTTCATTATAGCCCACTTAGTTAACCACATTACAAGAAAATGTTTTGTTTTTTGTAACATTTAGCAACTGTTAAGATCTGTATTTCAAGCTAATGTTAGCTGGCAAATAATTCACTCACTGCATGTGTGTCTGCCTTCAGTGTTTCTGTGTAATTTCCAAATCTAGCTAACGTTAATCTTACAAATGACTTAAAACTTAGTAAGTGATGGTTTTTGCCTATTCTAACTAGCAAAGCAGTAAGGCACTCACCTCTTAATTGTCAGGATGGAGATGGATGACAATCTGGCAAAGCCAACTCCACTGTCCTTTCAACCATGTGGTCTCAACTTCTTTTTCCCAAAATGCATTGCAAAAACTACGGTAAATTACTGTTTTGCTTCCTTCAAGCAATAATACAGTAAAATATTGTTATAAACCGTTATAATACAGTAATGTCCTGTATTTAAACATAACAGGATCATACTGTTGAAATTTCCTTGTAAATTTACATCAGTTTCTTAGAGTGCAGGGCAGTGAACTGGGAAAGGATGCTGCTCACCTGTTAGTGAGCGAAGTTCCTGTAAAACTGCTTTGTTATCTGTTGTTTGAGCTGGCGTTTTTATTCATTATCGTCCAGATTTTGACACATCACTGGATATCTAAACAATGGTTGAATGTAGGGAGGAAAGTCTTATGAAGGGTAGCCGTCGTCTTCATCTTTATTTTGTTTGGGTGTAACTTCTGTTTAATTTTATAGATATTAGTGTCTACTTTGAAGGTATTTTTTAACGTTTTCTATGCCTCTTTTATGCTGCATGCTTTAAGCTCTTTGCTTCTGATTTTTGTTTTTAATTGAACCCCTGTATCACATTTACTTGTTTTGTTACTGGATACTTTAGGGATAGGAGATACTCTTCACTGTTTGAGTTCAAGCTCTGATATAAAACCCCATGTCATATATCATACTTTATCAATCTATGATCCCATCAGCTAAAAAGCACATGTTCAGTTTGATAAATCTAGTTAAAAATAGTCCTCCATTTAGAGGTAGTACAGTGCCATCAAAATATATTTAAATGCCCAAAAATAAGTGTCGTCATTTGGGAAGCATGAGCTATTTGAACAGTTAAATTACTGCAGACATGGTATCATATATGCTGAAGCTGTGATACACAGAGTTGATGAGCTTAATTTAATGTTGTCTAAAATTATACATCATGATTTTTAGAATCATTGATTTTTTAATCTACAAAGTAACAAGTGAAACTAAAGAAAAAACATTGAGGAATAAATGGAATAGAATTAGAATCTGAAATGTAATTGTGTTAAAGTATAAAGTAACAAAATAGTACCAGTTAAATAAATAAAATTGATTGATTGATTGATTGATTGATTAGGCTAAATGTACATGTTTCCTTCGTGCCTCCATTACTGCGTGCCTGCAGGTAAACTAACCCTACCTTAAGTCAACCTTTTGTCCTCAAGTGACTTCAGTACATTTCATAAGACCATGTAACCTTGGCACACCTGATTGTGAGAATTTGACCATCAGTATGAACATTGTAATTATGTTCCTGTCAAACCTCAAGTACCAAAAACTTGTTTTGTTGTAAACTCCTTGTTTGGTAACAGATAATTATCACATTCTCAATTGACTAGATTAGTTTGATGTTGAAATCCAGACATGATGACACTATGAATATTCAGAGGTTTTTCAGGTTGAGGTTGAGTTAAGTGACTTCAAGAAGAATTCATATGATAAACTTAACACAGAGTCTGTTTCCCCTTTTTGTTGTTTTATTCCAGTACCAGAGGACTCACCATGTGGCTAAAAGGTTTTATAAGTAACCTTGTCAACATGAAACTTGTGAAGACCTGTATCATCCTTCTCCTTCTGACTGTGTTGTTCTTAACACTAAGAAACATGGCCCTGCTGCAGGTGAGAACTGGGATTATTGGTAACACTTTAAAGGTGGAATTTGTATGTTTTGAGTCTGATTACAGGAGACTATTTACAACAGTCTCTTTTGATGTACTCTCAGATAACATTAATCTTTTTGTTGCAAATTAACACTACAGGGGCTGGGGGATGAGGGCACTAGCATGGGCCCTATTTGAAAATGATGCCCACCTGCTGCACCCCCATAATCCTAACCAGCTATTCACCTTGTCAAAGGTGGGACAGATGATAATATAACATTTATGTGGGGAGCATTTTTAATTCAAATATTTCACTGCTTTATTCCTTAAAGATTCAAACTGGAAAAACTTGTGTTTTCCGTGTAAGTTTTTAAATAACATTAAAAATAACATCTTAATGATACTTTATTGTTAGTAGTAATTAAATAAATACTCATTGGAGACAGCAGGGAAAATGTATACATGACATGCACACAAACTTGATGGAAAGACTCACAGGTATTTACATGATTAAGCAGTTAAAAGGTCAAATGTGATTTAGTTAGACTTTAAATACTCTTAAAATGTGACAATTGATTCTGCACTGTGACTTCTTAAGACATGAAATGTTGAATATGTTTTTTTAATTTTGTTAATAATAGTAATTCTGAAGGTACAGAAGTGTCCACTAGAGTGGACATCATGCAACTCTATAATGCAAAACATTTTTATTTATTTATCTTGTAGTGCATAAACAACGATCAGAATTCTTCCCCTTTCAAAATCACATTTCCAGTTTTCACATGTCAATTGGGGTGGAGAGATCCATTTAAATTTAAGTTTTGAATATAATAATATAAAGTCTTTGAGTTTTTGAGTGTTCCTGTTGAAAAAAGGAAAAAAAAGTTTGATGAGCTAAAACTGATTGATGAGCTCAGTTTTTTCCTAAAGGATGCCTGAACAGCATTTAATGGGAGAAAATCAATTCATGAAGAGTAACCAAAACCATCCCAACATCAGTTATTTTCATGATTAGCAAAGTCTCAGTATTGTCATTGAAATGTAGCCGGCAATGCACAATGTCCAACTAGTGGACAGCCGATCAATCATGATTTTCTCCAAAACTAAAATCAATATTTGGATCTTTTCACAATAACATTGCTCCTTAGTTTTTACTTTATGTTAAGAAAAAACCTGCAAGTTATATGGACCATCTACATTTTGGCACACTTACAACAGGTGGCCAATGGATGACAGTGTATGGGCTGACTTGCTAAAGTCCACTGGAGTGGAAAACAGCTTTTGAATAGATGTCCACTGTAGTGACCAGTATGTGTGAAAAGGATAATTATTGGTACAGTCAATATGACCTGCCTTGTTGATTTGATTTTGATTTGATTGATTTATTTGGAACATGTAAAAAACAAAAAACAAAATAATAAAATAGCTATAATTAAAAATGTGTTCTTTCATGCCCGAAAATGAGAAGGAAGAATGATTTAATCTACCCCTTTTAACTCAATTTAATTTGTATGAATTATACCATAATATATAATTTTAAACAATTACTTGTATACCATAATGTAACTATTCTAATTACCATAATTATTTACAGTGTGCCATTACCAGTAACAAAACACACAAACTATGCTAAACTAAATCATAAACTAAATAATTACGAACACATCCCAGTGATTGTATTACCCTTCCTCATGTACTATATGTTGGAGGGTCAGGTTTTAACCATTTAATTGTGATATAGTTGAGAACTGCTGTTATCACTATTTATAAAAGGTATTTTATAGCTCTACCATCAACCTATCGGTTTTAGGCCCAGTATTTCCTCATTCGATCATTTGATGAAATATTGTTTCCAGAAACTCAGAAACCTCCTCCCAAAATGTTTTTAATGTCCAAAATATGGGTATGGGTGCTGATTTGTCTACCACTATTTATCCAACATGTATCACAGTATGCTGAGACCATTTTAACCACTATTATTTGTGTCCGTAAGTATCTCATTATCTTCCACTTCAATTCCCTCCATGTATTACAATTGGCTACAAGATGTGCTTCAGTTCATATTTCTACCATTTTTCCCTCTGGTATGTCTACATTAATTTCAGTTTCCCATCTTCCTTTTATCTGCATTGCAATTTTCAAAGTCATACCTGAAAATACATGATAAAAGTGACTTGTAATTTTCTTTTTCCTGTTTGTGCTATAAACAGAAACTCCTCAATTCAAGGGGCTCCAAGACTTTATTCCATTCTTTATGCTTAGTGGAAAATGTCCTGAACTGTAAATATATAAAGAAATCAGTGTTAGGAAGTGTGAATTCCTATTTAACTGTTCAAATTTTAGACTTCTATCCCTGTGGAGTTGCTGTAGCTTAGTGAGTTCATATTCTGATCATTTCCTAAATCCTGCATCTGTATGGAAGGGAGTAAAACCCTTTATAAATTCAATGTAAGTTAGTTCCGAGATTGCAAACCAAAAGATGCTTTTACTTTCGTCCACATATTTGGTGTGACTCTGGTCCATTTAACCATTTGAATGTCCCCTAATGGGACGTCTATGAAAGCTAAGGCCTGTTGGGGAGTAACAAAAACTTTTTTCAATGCTGAGCCAGAGTGTGTCTGACGGCCAAATTCCACCAGCTTCCACTGTCTCAGCTCGGCCAGTCCGGAGCAATCCGTAGCAGTTACACAAGGCTTCTATTTTTGCCAGATGCCGGAGCACGGTGCATCAATTAACCACAGAAAAATAAATTGTACTTAAATTTGATGGTGAAGACAAGTTTAAAACAGTTGGGACAGTGGCAACAAAATAGTATAAAAGTTGTAAAATGCTTTAAATAACAGCTGATGGAACATCTTACAGTTAATAAGGTTAACAGGAAACAGGCGAGTAACATTTCTAGGTATGAAAAGAGCATTGCAGAGTGGCTTGTCTTTGTTAAGTTAAGATGCGGTCGATGTTTTCTTGTCCACTGACATCCACATATTAAATCCCATGCAATCCTGTAACTTTTTTTCTTGTGTAGAGATCATGGCAGTATATTTGAAAAATTTAGTTTAAATTAGTCCATTTGTTTGATACATCGTTGTAACCATCCTTCTTTTTCGACCCCTTCCCAGATTAAATTTGAAGAAAACTCTATCATCTTCCTCAAGAAAGTGACCTCTGCTCCTTCCACTGGTCCTGTGTTGGCTCCTTACATGCCTGACAACTTCTGCACCTTCAAGCCACTGTCTTCTGCAGATGCTAAAGAGGAACGTCTCATATTGGACTCCATTGCTTGGCCTGAAACTCCTCCTCTGCCAGTTCCTTTTTCATTGAATCAGACAAGTCATGCCGCCCACAGCACCTTCATCATTCTCCCAGGGGGGGTTGGAGACGAGCGGCATGTAGGAGACCAGCTGGAAGTTATGATAAAAATGTACGACTTCCAAGGTAACCCCAAAAAGTCTGGAGGAGATGCAATTGTTGCCCGTTTGCACAACAGGGCACTTGAAGCAGGTGTGGCTGGACGAGTGGTGGATCACCTTAATGGCTCCTACTCTGCTGTATTCCCTTTACTCTGGGAAGGAAGTGCACAGGTTGAGGTAAAGTTCAAGGCTATATCCTTAAATGTTAATGTACAATAAGTAATGCCAAAAGAATTACCTAATGCAATGGTATTGTTCTGTAGGTAGTTTAATTCATGAAATCTAAACCATTCCCCCTGACTTACTTTTGCTAACAAGCAGCAACTTTCAAAGTTAAAACGAAGACATTGTGGAAGTCTGCAGCGCTCCTGGTCCAGTTGCATTCAACGACATCAAAGAAAATATAAGGAAAGAAAACTCTCTGTGCTACGCACCAAGGGCCTGATTTAATAAAAGGTTTGCGTGTCTTAAAACGTGTGCAAACTTGATACCACCAGCAAAAAAAGTGCTATCTGATCTACTAACGGCGCGCAGTGAGGATTGTGTCTTTGAAATGAGCAAAACAACACGCATTGACTATTTAGTAAGTTTGCCTTCATGAATATGCAATATGGGGCGTTTCTGCCCTGATGTGCAAAATACTGGGAGGAGAAAATGCAAACAAGTTAAGTTAGTACACGCATTGTGATTTACCAAACCTGGCAAAAACTGCGGTGATTGTGACAGTGTCTGTATTTAACACCTTTGAAAAGAAGGTGCTAACCCAGGAGACCAGTGTTACACACAACAGGCTGATGTTATTGAAGTTAGGAGGAGACATAGGCACAACAAAAGAAGGCATACAGGTCGCGTTTTTCCCCACATGTGTTTACATATTTCAAATGACAGAAAAATAAATGGTGTGCATTTATTTTTTAATTTGATTCAATATTCTAATCATTAAGAAAGAGAAACACCATGATTAAACTACAGGCTATTGTTGCCATAGCCTGCAGCCAAAGAAAACTAAACATTCACAGCCTCTGCATTCTATAGAATTTCAACATGGACATTTATTTCTTCCTATTTCCCTCTTTTCGCCAACATTATGTTTTAAACAGGGATTTCCTTTTTCTCAGGTTGCGCGTCTCTCCCCCAGCTCGTCCCCTCCGGTGCGCTCCTCTCCATAATGCGCGCGTCACCTCCCTCTAAAGCCCGCTGCTGCTACTCTGTAGGATGCTTGGACTGGGGGACCTCACCACTGTTTGTACCCCCGTCTTCAATACCTTTTTCCAGGGCATTTATGTCCGATCAGACACAGCGCTGGCCAGCTGTCTGGTGCGCAACAACAGCCCGTGTGTAGCGCGCCCGTGCCACAGAGGACACAGCTCGCACCTCCTGCGCAATGTATGACACTTCATTCTTAAGATGAAGGGAAGAAAAGAGAGGCCCTGTTTAATGCTGATGTTTTCTTATAACCAACATTTTCTTTGTAATATTCAGATTTATCTCCTATAACTCGAAAGTATTGTGCGTTTATTTGCCTCTCTTACTGATACCTATTTTGCGTTTGCAGTCATCCTGCTTTCTGTCCAAACTATCCGTGATATAAACCAGTAGAACACGCAAAAGCCTAACTTAAATAGTACCGCCTCCACAAGGTTTGCGCCTGGTGTCATTCACACAAATTTTCTTCGTAGATCACCCGCAAAACGCCCACCAGCCAAACGTGCAAACTTTTGGAGTGAACACGCAATTTAGTACTCTTTACTTGGGAGCTTAGTAAATCTGGCCCCAAGACTCTTAAAAACATGCTGTGGAAGCAGGGAAAGTGATGCAGACCTGTCTTCGGAGGAAGGCCAGCACTTGAGAGACGAAGAGCAATGGGAGACTACAGTCTTTGATTCCCTGCTGTTATCCCCCAGTTCTACTCCAATGAGGGAATTGTGTCTGACTCCCCCCTACACTTTACACTTGGGCCACAGGCCTGAGTCTGTCCAACACACGGCTGGTCACAACACTCATAACACTTTATGTTTACACTTTTTAATGATCTAATGCTCTACAGAAAACTTCAGCTACTCTAAAATTGCCAGAGATGGTGTCAAAATTGTTGGGTTAGATAGCTGCAAAACTAAGGGTCCGGATATTATGTTACGACCCAATTTACAGAGTACTTGTTGCAGTGGCCTGGGATTAGAATCCACTCTTGGCCTTTTGCTGAATGTCACCCCCCCACTTTCTCCTCCCAACATTTTCTGTCCGTCCTCAGCTGACATAACAGAGAAGAAAACAAGTTCTACTGGCCAGCTAGTGGAGAGTTTACCATATCAACCCTCTTAAACATAAGAGAGATTGTTAAGTTAAATAAATTAGCAACTTCAGTGCGCTGAAGCAAAAAAAAGAAAAAAGTTATGAACTATCTAATTATCATGTGCAGGTACTGCACATGGGGTATTTCTTATATGTTATAACTTTAAACTCTTGTTCTTTGTTTTATCAGGTGACCCTTGTCCACTCAAGTGAGGCTGTCACAGTTCTACGCAGGCTAAACAGAGATCATCCTGATAGGGTTCGCTTCACAAGCGTCTTCCGCTCAGGCTCAATCTCTGAATCTACCATCTGTAATGTTTGCCTGCGCCAAACCAACCAGCCACAGTGCAACTACACTGACCTCCATACAGGTGACCCGTGGTTCTGCTACAAGCCAAAGAAACTGAGCTGTGATACCAGGATGAACCACATGAAAACAGGATATAATAATGTACTCAAGACCGAAGAGTTGAAGCTCTTTCAAAGGTGATGAAGCTTAAAAAACTACTTTTTTCACTTGATGAATACATACAAAGCTTACTATATATCTCCTGGTTCAAATCATAGACTGTAAAAAGAATGGACGGGACAAGCTCCCCTTTTATTTTTAGAGCTCCCCCTGCTGACTGGCTGCAGTAAGGTCATAAACCCCGCCTCCTCAATGATAACAGATGGGATGTGGGTCAAACTGTAAAGTTAAAATACTCGTCACATAACTTTTTTCTACAGTGTGTTGAAGTGCAAATTTTTCTGTGAAGTTTGTTTTGAATAAGTTATTTGAGGTTGAAAAACAGGATTTTACGTCATATTTGACGATGATTGACAGCCGCCGATCTTGCGTAGCTGTTTTTGTGAATAGCAAAGTAACGTAGTGAAGGAAAGCCGAGACGCCATTGAACATTTCCACTCGGTGTTTGTCTCTGTTGGACTGACAGAATGAGTTGTTCTGCTGTAAACACATCCAACCAACCTGTGGGATTTAAGGATATCTGCGTTAACTTGGTAAGTTGAAATGTTTGTTTAATGTGCTGTTCGCGGGTAATGTCGTTAGCTAGCTAGCTAACACTGAAGTAGGCTAACGGAGCTAGCTAACGTTATGGTGTCAATAATATGTTACTGATAGCTGGCTGTGACGGACATTATTTATCTTTTTATTTCAGTAAAGAATCGGGGGGCGGAGGGGTCCTGATAAACTATGCTGGCTGTGCTTCATGATACTATAACTTAACTGTGCTCGAGATTCATATTAATAAACGATCAGATCTGTATTAAAAGTCAGGATATAGTTGCGCATCACCGACAATAAATTTACTTTTATTAATAACATTAACAGTTGTTCAGTCTGCTCAGTGTGCACCGACTGTAAGAATAACAGGCTCGACTTTCTTCTGCTCCACGTGATGCTGCTGCGGGGCTGAAATTTAACATTAATATTTGGAAGAGGCAGAATATTTCTAAAGTTATTATCTGGTTCAATAATGTCTCTAACTGTTCGAAGAAAAGAAACAGAACGGACATGTTAACATCAGCAGCCGACGGTGAAATGTAATATGAACCAAATATGATTTGTACAAGTACTCAAAACGGGCTGATCATATTCTACTAAGACTTCAACAGGTTGACTTTAGTGTTAATTTACTTTAGTTAATATTTAAGACTTCAACAGGTTGACTTTAGTGTTAATTTACTTTAGTTAATATTTAAGACTTCAACAGGTTGACTTTAGTGTTAATTTACTTTAGTTAATATTTAAGACTTCAGCACACTACCAGGAGTCAATTCAATAGTTTACAGTTGATTTGTTCTTCAGAATTTGTTCAGAAATATTCTTCTCGCTTTGCTCCATGATTATGTGATTCATATGTTATATAATAACTTTCCTTTTATTAACACTATTTCTGTTCAACAAGATTCATTTCTATTTAAAATGCTCTTTTGGATATTTCATTATCATATTTGTCTGTTATAACTTTTATAAGTTTTAGACTTAAATTTTAACCTCTCAAATAACAAAGCAGTCTCAAATCTTTTTGAGGAATTATAGCAAAAAAAATGAAATTCTTAAATAAAGTGAAGTACTTTGATTGCATTTCTGTGGTGTTCCTGTAGGTGACCATGATGCAGCCAGACTGAAGCAGCAGGTTGTGAAAGTGGACGCCATCATCTTGTCTTTGCAGTCCTGATTCTGAAGAGAATGTAAAATGATCTCTCATATGATTGGACCGTTTTTATTGTAACTGCTATCAGCATCAAAGTAATTTTAGTAACAATTTATAATCTTTCTTAAAATGTAAGGAAGACTAGCAGAAGATTTTAACAGCCTCTATGGTTCTGCAAGAAGTTCATGTTGAAATTGTTCTTCTTTCTGTCTTCAAGGAAATCAATGCCCAAAGGAAACAGCAGAACAGACTCTGATTCCAGCTCCGGTGAGGTTCTGCACACAAATTGGCTGTCTGATTCGTTTAATGGGTAATTACACCAAATCAATACATTAAATTGACTTTTTTTTGCCAAATACTGAAGCTACTTCTGCATATTTGTCATGAAACACAAGAATCCAACTGACTGCAGTTTCTGCTCAAACTGCTGAAATCATGTCTCACTGTTTAAGTTTCACAGTTGTACTGTGAGTATCTGTAACTTAATTAATCAACAGGAGACACTAGTGCAGTGTGTGGTAAAATCATTACATTCATGTACGAATGAACACAATACTTTTCTGCAGGCTTGTTCTCTCATTCCTTATCTGCAGCTGCAGTATCCTGTTTTACCACTTTAACTTCGTCATCACACCTCATCATATTGGACCGCCTGCACTCAGCACTTTTATGAATAAGAATGGTCAAAAGACGCTTCACACGCGCCCTTTCTGTGACACGCTGAGAGCCTTAAGCAGAACGCCTGAATTAACAAAGTTCATAATTAGCTCATGCTATCAGATATCTTTATCATGAGCTTCTGACTTTGCTGAACCAGCTTTCTCAAAGAAAGCCTGGCTACTAAGTCATAGGCAAAAGTTAATTATTTTACCCCATATGTCATGATTATATGAGATTATTTAACATTAGTTTAATTCATCAGGCTGGCCCATGTGATGACAGTTTAAAATAATCTTCAATAGAAAGCGGCAGGAACACTTTTGTCTTAAAACATAAATTCATAAAGCTGATCATATTATTGGATTCATCATGTCTTATTATATATTTTGTTTTTCCTCATAAATAGTTATCCTGTCATAAAAACAAACTAGAACCTGAAGTTTAGCAGAACCTGAGGACAGATCTGATTTCAGGTCTGAGGCATAAACATCACAGTAAAATTCATTATACTTTACATTTAACTCCATGATTGTTTTTCTTTATTACAGAAGATGCTCTCAGATTCAGATCCATCAGCAACCCCTGACAACATGGAGGACTCGTCCCCTGAACGTTTCCTGTCCTCTCTCGATGGACTTCTTCTCTTCAGTTATTAACTCTTGAAAACAGCAGCACAACATGCCAGACTGTTTGACAAGTCTGTGATTGTATAAATGGAAATGGAATCTCATGCGTATCTTGCTATGCTTATTGGCTTTAAATGTTTAATATTAAATAAGTTGGAAGGCCATTTATCTCAGACGAGACCGGCTGTGACAAGCTGAGCTCGTCTGTTAGCTTTGCTGTTGTCTTAGCTGTTGTTGGTCAAGAAGAAATGAATGTCAGTTCAAGGCCTTTTCAAATGTGCGCTATAAACTTAACTGCTAAATTATTTTACTGTGACCAACACTTTGTTGTGCTCCAGTTAATCAGAGACAGTCATATCAGATTTTTTAAAAGTTTATTTAAACATTTTATGAAAAAAATCTCCAATAAACAACCCCTGGCTTCATTAACCATGTGGAAAATAAGTAAGGCAGACCATCAGGTCCAATTGCTGCGACATAGGAGAAAGTATAAAAAAGAAAGAAAGAAAGCAATCCCAACAAAAATCAAATAAAGTATAGAGATCCTGGATGATTGTTTGACTGTTAAACTATGATGGAAAATCAAATCCAACACAACCCTCCAGCATTTGGCCTTTTAAACACAGGGCAACATCATGGAAAGAAAAATAGCACCGTTGAATATTGACCAGGATCTCTGTGTTTTATCTGAGGATGACTATGGTAGCCTTCTTACTGTTCACTGTCACAAAGCACCAGACTCTGTCCACCTTCTTCAGTTGTGCAGATGTCGATCAGCTCCTCTGGGTGATGGCAGAGAGGACTCTTCATCTGGGAGAGATGCTGGTGTAAGGTCATTTCTACCACAGTGGATGAGCAGGACATCTGGCACAGGTGAAAAAAAGGAGGAGGTTCCTTCAAACTAAGCGACCCCAGCCTGACCTCTGTAACAGGTGTGCAGACGAAGGTTGAAATTAGTCATTTTTAGGTTCTGTTGATTGTAAAATGGAAAAGAAAACATCAACTTTCTATTTAACATTTAGCTGTTGTATGACTCTGTGACTTTTATTTTAGAAGACTGTATTGTTAACATCAAGATGACATCTTGACATAAGTCAAGATCTTACTAATTGATTCTGCCCCCCCTAGTTCTAGTAGAGGAGTTGGATGGTCCAATCGAGGGCACCTGGGCCTGTGTCTGGCAGGGCATAAAAGCCCCAGCCCAGGGTGGATTCTCTCTCTCTCTCTCTCTCTCTCTCCTCTCTCTCTCTCTCTCTCTCTCTCTCTCTCTCTCTCTCTCTGGCCTAAACTTTGACTTGATTGTTTGTGTGATGGTTGTGGCTGGTTGTAAATAAATCATTGTTTCCTCAACTTGGGCTGTTCCGTTTCGTATTTGTCATGGCCATGGAGCCAGGTTATGACAAATTGGGGGCTCATCCGCCTTTTTCTCTTTTGTGCCATTACTTTGGTAAGAAAGTTTGATTTGTATTTGTTTGGTAATTGGTACTTGATTGCTCGGTTAATTTGGTTGTTTGTTTGTTTTTGTTCTGTGGTGTACCTGTTCGCGGTAACACTGCTGCAATAGGGTCGAGTTTAGGTAGCTGGGTTTATGTTTAGATAGTGGGGAAAATCCACATTGGGTTGAGGAGTGTTCCTCTTGGTGCGCATGGGTTAGTGTCTCTGTGTCTGCTGGTTTCCGTGTGTGCGCAAAGCTGACAATTGTTTTTGTTGTTGTTGTTTTTCTCCGGTTCATTGTCAAATAAATTGGAGGAATTTTGTTTGTCTTTGGTGAGGGATGGCATGTTGTCTGGCGAGGAGCAGGGCGCACAGGCCGGTGGCTCTTCCGTGCATCGCTTTGATGTTAATAACTTGCGTCTATTACCACGCTTTAATGAAGAAGACCCAGACACCTTTTTCTTGTTATTTGAATGTGTGTCTGGAGCAAGATGTTGGCCCGATGCTGACTGCACTCTGATGCTTCAGTCTGTTCTCACAGGGAAGGCGCAAGAAGCATATTCTGCTTTGAGTTTTGAAGACAGCTCCAGTTATGTTAAAATATAGTCAGCTGTGCTTAAGGCATATGAACTCGAGCCTGAGGCATATCGACAGCGTTTTAGAGGCTGGGAGAAGAAAAACAGTCAGACATACATGGAGTTTGCCAGGGATCTGTCCACTCACTTTAAGCGGTGGTTAACTGCGCTTGATGTTACTTCATTTGATGGGTTGTGTGAACTGATGATTGTGGAACAGTTTAAAATTTGTCTTCCGGATCGCATTGCAACTTCCATCAACGAGCAGAAAGTGCCAACTGCTGCTGAGGCCGCTGTTTGTTTGGATGAATATTTGTTGCTGCATAAAAATAGGTTTTGGGAGCGTCCTGTGGTGCAAGAGGCTTCTGGTTACCATGGTAACGTTTCTGTGTTGCCGTCTGAGATGCGTTCGAAGAAACTCGGATTTTCGAGACCTAAATATGAAGGAGGGCTTAATGTTGATAAACGGAATGTCTGTAACTATTGCCACGAGGAGGGACATTGGAAGTCGGATTGCCCAGTGTTAATGGCTAAAACAGGAGGGCCAAGTATTAAACCAGCTGCATGTGCAGTCCCTGTAAAATATTGTTGTGTTGCTGAGCGGATGACCTCTCACTCTTGTGAGACTGATGTTTTGGCAGTATATGCACCCTTCATAAGAGATGGGTTGGTGTCGCTTGTGGGAACCAATGAACAAGTTCCCATAAAAATCCTGCGGGACACTGGGGCTTATGATTCCTTCATTGTTGGTTCTGTTTTGCCTCTTTCTGGAGAGACTGACGCAGGAGACTGAGTTCTTAGTTGTGGAATGGGGTTGAACATCCTTCCTGTTCCTTTGCACAAGGTGCTTCTTGACTGTGAGCTAGTTAAGGGTGAAGTAACTGTTGGTGTGCGTCCAGTGTTGCCCATTAAAAGTGTGCACTTTATTTTGGGAAATGGCCTGGCTGGAGCCAGAGTCTGGAGTGACATTGCACCAGTACCTGAAGTCACTTCTTCCCCGGTTGATCCTGTGTCGGATGAAAGCTCTAAACCACTCCCAGAGGTTCTTTCATCCTGTACTGATGGAAGCATGCCCCCTGATGCTGTCAAAAATGTTGTGTTGGAGGCCCTGTCTCTGTCTGAGCTTCCATTTTCGCTGTCACACAGGAAAGTGAGGAGGCAAAGAAGTGATTCTTCTTTGAGGGACACATTTGAGTGTGTTTTACCTAGTTCTGGGGTAAGTAGTGCAGTGAATGGCTGCTTTAGGAAATTGGTACATGTTGGTGGGGGTTGTGTGAAAAAGAAAAGGAGGCATAACTTTAGACCAGGAGAACAGGTTCCCATGTTTATACCCATCGTTGGTTCTCCGTTTGAGGCTAAGTTCTCAGGTCCTTACATTGTTGCGAAGGAAGGTTCTTGTTTGAATTGTGTTGTGGCCACATCAGGTCAGAAGAAAACCCAAAGTGTCTGCCATGTTAACCTCCTGAAGCCATACGACTAGCATGTCGCTGTGGTAGATGCAGGAGACGTTGTGTAGTGCTGCGCTCAGCTCTAGCTGTGTCTACGAAGACCGTTAATTTACTGTGTAGGCTTAATATATTGTCCTTATGTTTTCCAATACCTGTTCTGTGCTGTCATGCTGTGTCTATCCTCTTAATTTGCTCCTCAGGTACCGGGGGTTGCTGAGAATGGGTGGGGGGTGGAGGTGCAGGCCGTGAATCCAGGAATAAGGTCATGAATTAATCTAATTATACGTTTTTTGTTTTTTTTGTGATTGAAAGTATTTTGAGTAGAGTCGTTTTTGTAATTGGGTAGGTGTTTTGCACGGTGGTTGGTTATTGTGATGTTGTGCCGGTGGTCCCCTTGGGACACCGACTTTAAGGGGGGTGTGACGGTCACTGCCATAGTCAAGATCTTGCTAATTGATTCTGCCCCCCCTAGTTCTAGTAGAGGAGTTGGATGGTCCAATCGAGGGCACCTGGGCCTGTGTCTGGCAGGGCATAAAAGCCCCACCCCTGGGTGGATTCTCTTTCTCTCTCTCACTGGCCTAAACTTTGACTTGTTTGTTTGTGCGATGGTTGTGGCTGGTTGTAAATAAATCATTGTTTCCTCAACTTGGGCTGTTCCGTTTCGTATTTGTCATGGCCATGGAGCCAGGTTATGACAATAGCTTGTTTTTACAATCCTCTTATGAAACTTAAAAAAAATCACAGGATATATAACTTTTAACAGATGATTTTAACTTACACTTCACTTCTGTGGAAGATGTCAGACTAGCTGCTTTTATAGTTTTTTTTGCCTAAATGAAGACACAAAAAACAATTGATTTACTGTTCACTTAAATATATTAGAAAAGCAGACATGAATCACATTGCAAACTACCAGTTTCTAACAAAATACAACATATCTTACCACCTGTAGCCTACGGTTTGTGGTGCTAACCTAGCTTAAATATAGAACGATTTCGGCAAAAACAGAGCACCCAGCAGCCCACGTATTTTCAATAACGATCAAAATAGCGGGATTTTTAAAAACACAGTGTGTTTAAATATTAGAATTTGAATACGGCAGTTGGTACTTAGACATTTCTTGATAAGACTCGTAGACCGGCAGAGCGCTTTCGGCATAGCTGGGCTGCATAAGTCATCAGGGCAGTACGCTAAATGGGCAGGGCGTGTTACCAGGGCTCCTGCTCCCGGACCCTACTGCGCAGACTCTGGCTCCATATGACGTCAAAATCGCAAGATGGAAGCGCCTGTAAGGGGCGTATTTTGGCTTCAAGAACATTGAGTGGGAACAGCTACAGTGTGCGCCCAATGGTTCAAATATGTCTAGTTAATAACAACGGACATTTATGAGTAAGTCTAAAGGTGTTTATATATCTTTAAAGCCCAAATATGGAGGCAGAGTAACTCAATGCAATTAAATCTTTACCTTTTGGTAAATCATGTTTTGACAGTGATTATATTAGTGTGTGTAAAGTACAATATATAATGTGAAGTTTTGTACAGGAATGTCAACCTGAAAGTCTTCATTCCGGCTTCAGGACCTGCCAGTGTCACTGTGTTGCCACGAAGGAAAGGTAAGCATGATCTTTCCTACTCTCACCAATAAAAATCGAAACTGAATGAGCTTGAGACCTTGACAGTTAAAGTGACTTGTGAAAAAGTACATACAACCTATCTCTCTTATAGCAGGTCATTGGCAGAATGAAGTTGTTTTGGTAATTGCTAGGTATTAAGGATATCCCATATGGGGGGTAAAGGGTCTGTTGATGATAAGTGATACCTGAAATAACCCAATCCTTTTTTTTTCAATTCTTCTCAGGGCGACCTGCAGTCAATCAAGACAGTGGGAAGTCTGGACTCTCTGGGTATTACTACCAGGGTGTGTGGAGATCACTAGGTGGCTTTAACGTTCACCAATTCAACAACGACTCTGCAATCAGCCAGTGTTTGAAAGGCAAGGTGGTCCACATGTATGGAGACTCAACCATCAGGCAGTGGTTTGAGTACCTCAACGCTTCGCTTCCAGGTATCTGTTCCACAGTTATTGTAGGCAAAATTTGGTTCATTAATATTGCAACTTAATCTGTTCCTTCTGTCACACTTGCAGAGGCTAAGGCAGTAAACCTGAACAGTCCGATGCAAGCAGGACCTTACATGATATGGGAAAATGCAAACAAAATCATGGTAACGTACCGCATCCATGGTCTTCCTCTTCGGATTTCAATAATACCAACCAGTAAGGAGTGTTACGTTTCCAAAGAACTTGATACGCTGGTTGGTGGTACCAACACAGTTGTAGTTTTAGGAATCTGGGCCCATTTCAGCACTTTTCCAATTGAACTTTACATCAGACGGCTTCAGAGCATCCGCAGGGCAGTGGTCCGTCTGTTGAATAGGGCTCCTGGCACACTGGTGGTCATTAGAACTGGGACCCTCCAAGCTATGCACGTTGGTAATGTGATAAGCAACGGTGACTGGTTCTCGTTTCAGGTGGACAAGGTGCTCAGAGCCATGTTCAAAGGACTTAATGTCCAACTGGTGGATGCATGGGATATGGTTCTTGCTCACCACTTGCCGCACAACATTCATCCAAAACGTCCCATCATTAAGAATATGGTTGATGTTCTATTGTCCTACATATGCCCACAAAAGAAGAGATAGCTGTTAATTTCATGAAGGAATTTTAACAATTCAGGAAAAATGCAGCTCTTGTTGGTAAAACTGAAACTGAAGCAGTTTTTCTGCTTCTTGTGTGTTTCTATCAAATGATTTATTTTTCCTAAAGCAGACCATACAGACAAAGCAAGTACAACTTTGATCCATCTTTTTAACAGAGAATTGTGAGTAAAAAAAAACGAGCGCAAACCGGATTGCAATCAGTTTGAAGTCAAATAGCTCTAATAAACACAGGCGTGTGAAGATTCACACTAAAAAACCACACAGCTCATTGAGCTAGGTACTTAGTTTGATGAAAACATTCCTGGAGTTGTAGGAAAATACTAGGGATAATTATGAGAATTGCTTAGTGGCCAATGTCAGATGTATTAAATGGAAATTTAAAGATGTCTGAGCTCAAGTCTAAATTTACCATACCACAATAAGCTAAATTTACCATTTAGTCCATTTACTCTATAGAATTGTATGAGATTGTTACTATCTACCCATTAATGGCTAACTAGTAATTAATTCCCCATTAACTATGCAACAATTTGTGTAGTTACATTATCTGTTAAATTATAATTAGCTACTCTAGAACATGTAATGAAGAAGTACTCACTATCTACCCATTACTAAATACCATGACATGAATTTCTTCACCCAATTAACATGAAAACTAAAATTATATATAAAATCCATTATGCCATCCAACCTTTGGCTGCTCAATTGAAAAAGAAAAAAGTCAGGAGAATACCTCGGCTTGTGAGGGAGCGTCTCCTATTCACCTTAACAATCATGTAACTATCTTATTAACCATTAAGTTGACAATTTTTTTATTCGATGTGTTAATCAGCTAACGTATGGATCCACTGTAGTTAAATAATTCATGAGCTTAATTTATTATGTGAGAAAATGTTTTGTTGCTTTGATTATTAATCATGTCCTCTCTGAGGTAACATTTCTGTTGACAAAGAAGCATAGCATGTTTCCTTGATGTCTGATGATATAGTTAGGTCATTTTTATGATTTAATTCAGTAAATATCCTACATATGGGACTTTTAAACTTGATCTTATCCTGAATAGTTGGATAATGGACTTTTTACCAATAGGTGGCAGTGCGTGACAGTAAATGTTGTTCTTTCTATCCTGATCTTTTCTTCCACCAGCTCGTTGTCTGTTAGCCCTTCTGTACATTATGTACACTAATGAGTGTTGCAGCATTTGTGTGCGTGTGCTGTTGTATGTGTACATATTTTATATTTTATATGCTGCAGCTGGATTATTGACAATAAAGATCAATCAATCTATCAAAAACAGACACATTGGGAAATGTGTTGATGATACTTTGATTGTCAGCCTTCTTGATGGGGGAGAGCAGGGTTATGAGGCAGTTGTGGATGACTTTGTGGCTTGGCATGATCAATCTTTTCTTCATTTTAATGTGTCATAAATAGAACACATGATTATTGTTTCAAGCAAATTTTCACCGTCTTTAGATTCATGGTCATGGTTAAAATCCCCAGCGATGATGAAAAATCCGTCTGGGTGAGCTGTCTGTTGCTCACTGATGGCGTTGTAAAGTTCCCAAAGTGCCTCGATTCTATCAGCGTTGTTGGTGGTGGGGGGAATATACACAGCAACCAGCAGGGTCGCTGTTATCGCTCTCGGTTGACAGAAAGGGCGGCACTTAATGATCATAAACTCCGCCAGCGGTGAACAGTGTTTACATACCACAGCAGCATCTCGACACCAAGCATCACTGATGTAAACACAGACTCCACCACCTTTCTTCTTTCCTCCTTTAATAAGGATTCTGTCCGAACGGTAGCATGTGAATTGTTCAAGCTGAACGGCGGAGTCTGGGATGCATTCGTTCAGCCATGTCTCTGTGAAAATGTACGCACAGCCGTCCCTCACGTTGCGGTGTGCAGCTCTCAGTAGCTCTATATGGTCCATTTTATTGTCCAGAGATCTTACATTTGCCAGTAGAAGAGTTGGAAGAGCGGACCTGTGTGGTGTATTAGCCAGTCTCGCTCTTATGCCTCCACGTTTACCTCGCTTTTGTTTCCGCTCGCACCGTTTCCGTTTCCGTCTCCTCTCCGGGGGGTAAACCGGCTCGCGAAGCAGTCCCAAAGTTTGAAGCTGTTGTCTCAGTGATTCGGGTAGTAACTCCACAGAAAGGCTGTTACTGTTTAAGTCCAGTAAAAATCGACGGCTGTAATTGTGTTTATCCATAGTAAAACACGGAGAAAAGTCAAAAGAAAAGTTAGAAAAGTAAGAAAAAGAAGAAAACACCACTCTATCGGGAGAGAGAGGGGCCGCTGCGACTGGTCGCGCCGCCAGTCAGTCCGACAAGAGCATCCACCATAGAACTGTGAGCAGCTAACTGGATAGTGAGCCCAACCTTCGAGACCTCAAGTGGGATTAAGAAGACTGTTTCTTCTAAGGAAGAACTTCCTTCGCTACTTCATAGAGCAGAAGCACAGATTAAACAGAAGCACACACCTGGATTGAGCCCCAACGAAAAAGACTGGGCTTAGACACTTCAAATGTTTTTTTTATTTCATGTGCACACTTTATTAATGAAGTTGTTCATTGCAATAGTAAATTGTATATTGTAATCTTGACCTGCAATATTTGTGTTCCTTACATACAAAGTTTGAAAATGTATTCCTGTGTGCGTCTCTTGACTGGTATTCAGATCTTGGGCTCCAGGTTTCCTAGTCTTCTGATGTTTGTCCACCTTCAACACTTTATTTACAGTAACATGGGTTAAAAACAACTATGCTTTTCCCTGAATTTGATCAGATATGTTGATAGCTATGACACACCAAATGTTTTCATAATGTTGTTTACAGTTAATGTTAAAGATAACACTTGTATTTGTAGTAGCATTTTTTTTTCAAAAACTGTTTGAGTGGAAGTTTAATAGACCTCCTTTTTGTTTCTGCGTTTACTTTACTTTCTGCGAAAGTTGGACCCTGTTCCCACTGAGCTGTTAATAAGTGCATAATAAAGTATTTATTAACCTTTATAAGGCATTAATATGAACCTAATAAAGTCTTATCAATGTCAATAAACATCTTATGAACGTTGATAAGTAGTCTATAAACAAGTTTCTTTGTGTTAATATCTTACAAGCCAATTATAAATTAATTTATAGTTTAATTAACACTCATGAAGTCTTATTAATGTTAATAAACATCTTATTCATGTTTATGACGGTATATAAAGTGTCAGTACATTTCTAATAAGAGCCTATAAGTGTCTTATAAGACACTTATGTGAATTATTACCTATTATTAATGCTTATTACAAGCACCTTAATATAAAGTGTTACCGCACTTATTAAGATTTAATAAAGCGGGGCGCTGATGGCGCAGTGGTAAGTGTGTGCGCCACCTCCAAGCAGGAAGCTCAGGTTCGAATTCCACCTGTGGCTCCTTTCCCGCATGTCATACCCCACTTTCTCTCTCTCTTATTTCCGACTCATTCCACTGTCCTATCTCTCCATTAAAGGCCCAAAAAGCCAAAAAAAAAAACTTGAAAAAAAAAAGAAAGAGCTAATAAAGCTCATTTGCAGGTACAGGATCTAAAGTAGGAAAGAAGGACAAAAGATGATTATAATGTATCATTTATTAATCATTAATAAATGATGTGAAAAATACACATGTGCGTATACACAGCATTTAGTTGTAAGCTTATAAACACTCAAACAGCTCTTTAGGGAAAAAAAATCTTTGTTTTTTTTAACATAGTCAAAAACCTGAACAATGTATTAAAATTAAATTAAATTATAAAATAGTAAGTACATACACATAAGTACAAATTAAAATTGTAGGAGTGCAACAATTCCTAGTAGTTTTACATTTATCAAAGAAAAAAACTATTTACAAAATGCATAGAAAACTAAAATATATACATTACCTTTTTTACAAAAGTGTTAACAAACCAAGATAAATGAAACCCCCAACTCAACATTAACTACCAGTAACTCTGGGTTACTTAAAAATGACCCTTCCTCAGAGGCAGTAATTTTCCTGACCTCTTCAAGGTATGGACCTGGTCTTGGATAACTGAATTCGGTATGAATGATATCCAGACAATTTCGGGCAAAATCCCCAAGTTTTTATTTTCCTGTGTTCTGCTTCCTGAGCTCATCATATCTCTCAGGGGCAGCGATGGCGAGCTCAGCAATAGGTGAATTTAATGCAACCGTATTGCGGTCCACACCCACCGCCATGCATTCTGCTGTGATCGATTTCTTTTTTTTAAGTCTTCACCACCTTCGCATAGCGTTCCATTCTCAAAATGACATTGGGTCATATATGTAGAAATGTGAAATACATTTTTAAGTTCGTGCCTTCTTGGGAGAGAAAAGGCAGAAAGTGTCTTTTTGGCTCATGTGTATGAAAGACACCAAATCCCAGAATGCACAGCACCACAGGCCACGCCCACTAAGGTCAGGTTTACAGACATATTTCCTTCAACACATGCGGCCGTTTCCTCAACTGATTCAGAGATTTCTTCCAGAATTGATCTTGGAAATTCCTGTCAGAAAACAGACTCTATGTCTGTGTCCATAGACAAACAGTGAGAGCACTGACACTACCAGTCCGCCCCAGCTCGAGCCGGCCCCGGCTCCTCGTCCTCACAGCCACCGACAGGCAGGCCTTATGTCTCGGCTGCTGAGCTGGCAGCGGCTGGCAGCGGCTGGCAGCGACCAGCAGTATAGCAATATAGCTGCGAGACGGCCAGCGGCCGAAGCAGCCAAAGCAGAAGACCGGCCTGTCGGCAGCAGTCATCTCGTCACTATATTTATATTTTTTCACCATTATCAGCTTTCTCCATAGAGCCTGTTAGCATAGCTTCCAAGCAATATGGCGGACGTTAAGTTTCGTGAGTGAGTTCCCACCCACTGATCTGTGATTGGTCTGTAGCTTCAGTGGTCGAAAATATGAGGAACTAGCGTTGTAGTTTCACCCCGCTAACCGCAACAGCTTCCAGTGACGCAAAAATCGTTATTTTGCATCATCAGAAGCTCCTTTTCAGACTTAAAAATACAAAGATTTCCCATCTCAGGGGAAAATGAGGGTGGGATGCACGACCATTCAGAAATACTACCAGGTTTCTAATGATACAAAGCTTAATGCAAATGGCTGAAGTATCCCTTTAATCCAGACAGGATAAGGCTAAGAGAACGTCCTTGGTCACTGCCCAGATCTTCCAGAAGGGATGCGGCTTGCTCCATAGATACCAATTCCAAAAGCTAATCCAATCAAGTGTTGTTACTCTTTTGAGGTTACCCCATCTATGATATTTAGAGGTATACCCACTTTTGGACTTAATAGCCGTTGTCACATATGCACGCCGGATAATATCTAGATAATTACGGGAGGACTGCTCCAGATATTCTCCTGACCTAGCTGTTCACATCCTCCACCAGTCTAAAGTGTTCTTGATCATAGTTTTTTTTCCGATAAAGTGAGTTTTGTATTTTCAAACAAATTTATAAAGCTTCCTATATATAGCCTGGCCCAGACAATGTGTCAAAGGATGCGCCTCAAGACCTGTTTGACAGAAATTGGTGAGCCACTTCCACCTGACCTTGTTATGGCTGGGGAGGGTCCCTGTGCTTCATGGGTCATTCTAGTCATAGGTGGGGCCAGGGCGTGGGGGTGCTGAAGCTACCCCTATAGGGTATCTAAAGTACCCTCAAAAAGTGTATGCGATTTAATAATTTTTTCGTATCTAATTTATTTACATGTGAGTCATATGCCTTTCAATTTTAATTAAGAAAACAATGTGTTTTTTTAGAATTAAAAGAAGCTGGATCAGGATATTAAATTCAGCCAATGGTGCATCATGACGAACCTAATAAGGCTCATCAAGATGCTGTTTACTGGGAAATGGCAGTTACTAAAAGAAAAGCAGGAGGAGGGGGATAAAAAACAAATGGTCAATAAAACCTCTTTTATGGGTTATGGGTTTTTTTGCTCACAATGCTTACTGTGACGCTGAGCAAAGTCTACTCTCCTAGAGGAAATAATTACACCAATATGTTAGACTCATACTGTAAACTGTAAACATACAAGAAAGTGACTGAAACTTCTGAGTGAGGAGGCGTAAATCTCTGTTGATAAGGCGTACTTTTGCCCACTTGTGTAGCCGCCTGGTCACACTGATAGTTACATTGGCATGTAAAGGGTGTTTAAAGGTTGATTAGATACACGTGTGGAGTAAACCACATTTGAAGGGACTGACTGTATCTCAATTTGCATTGAAAAGTCTTCTTAAATGATGTTTGTCTTAAAGCCCAACTATGACCCAATAATAGCGTTATTCATTCAGTGTTTGGAGAACATGTTTCTTCTCTTCAGCTCGAGAAACTCTTCAGCCTCTTTTAACGGATGAATGTTGTTCCCTGTGCTGTTTTTTAGTCTGTAGAGACTTTGGTTTGGAATCGGAGGGTCGTCGGCACGGACCAAGTCCGGAAGTTGGTCTGTATTTCAGCCTATGTTTGTGTTCATGTTCATTAGACAGAGTGTAAAAACTGAATTTCCCCTCACTGGATTAATAAAGTATTAATTATTATTATTACTATTATTATTATTTTTCTCTTCTCCCCTTCTGTTGTCTCTAGCCCAGGTGATGCTACTTGTTGCACAACTATGCACACCTGTCCTCAGAGCTTAAAAGCCCACTGCTGGCTTCAGGAGAAGTTGGGACTGCGGTCTCTCTCAAGCTGTTTTCACATATGCACTCCGGATAATATCTAGAGGGGTGTCAGATAGTGGTGGGCGATATAACCATCTTAGATCGTGAAGGATTTTAACCTCCTGATGAGCTGCCAAAGCAGGGAGCTCGTAGAACCGGACTAATGTGTTTATTCTATCATGCTGCAGTTTATGCTCCGACACAGACACGTCTCCTCCTCTTTTGCTCTGCAGAGGTGAAAACGAAAACGAAACTTAAAAGTAAAGTCCGCAAAAACAACTCCATCTCGGTTATATGCAAATGTTCTGACATTTTTCCAAACCGACACGCTGTGAGCAACAGTTAATTTATCTGCATAGTTTGCACAGTTAAATTTACATTTCAGATAGCGACACGAGCTGGAGAGACGTTAACACTCAGAGACAGACAGAGTGGAGCTCAGACAGTCAGTGATGAGAGATATAACCCCGGTGTTTAAAATGTTGCTGTCGGTGTTTTCTGCTCTCTCTCAGTTTTTAAAAGTTACCAGGGGCGGACTGGCCATCTGTGTGTTCTGGAGAATCACAGAACGGCCGGTACTATTTTTTCCTGCTAATCTACTGTTTCATACTCCAGTCCGGTAGGTGGCAACAATGCGTCTTTAAATTGGAGGCCAGCTGGCAGCCGCCCGTGCCCACCATAGACTGTTAGGTGCCCACCAGCTAATTGAAAAAAAGAAGAAGAAGAAGAAGAAGAAGAAGAAGAAGAAGAAGAAGTAGCAGCAGCGAAGACGATCTTTGGTAGCAGTAGTGAAGCACAAAAATATGGATAGAAAACGCAAAGAAAAGGGTGGGGCTGAAAAGGCGAGGGAAAGAATAATGCGACACTTAGAAAGTGAAGCCGCTAAATGTCGCAAACTCACTGAAATGTTCAGCAGCACAGCCGGCAGCAGCAGCAGCAGCAGCAGCAGCACAGCGGCACAAGTTGATGTTAGCAGCATGAGTGAAAAAGAGAGTGTTGAGGCGAGCCAGACAGTTGTGCATGGTAGGGCCACATGTGATGATGAGGGACAGAGAGATGAGCTGGTGGAAGTTCCACCAGCTCCACCAGTTCCACCAGTATGGAACATGACATGAGAGAGGGAGAAAGAGAGTTACTCGCTGGCTGATGTTAGCAAATGTTATTCAGGTGTTGCTACATTTTTATCTATACCCAGTTTGTGTTGCTCAGTACAATGCGAAAAATAAAATAAAATAAAATAAAATAAAATAAAGTGAAATAATGATTATAGTAGTTAAAACAGCTCCACTTTAAACATTTTAGGTGTAAAATGCCACATGCAGTAATATTAAGAAATAGGCTATACTGTATATATAAAAACTGTTGTGCTTTTACTTTTTAAAGTTTTGGTAACGTTACAGTTTTCTGATAATACTTACAAACTTTGAAGACTTTTAATAAAGAACTTACATTTGTAGTGGTGTATTTTCATTATTATTTGTGCAGTAAGTTAATTACTGCATAATTTAATTAAGATTATTGAGTAATAAAGTAATCATAAGATTGCATGGAATAGATGATGTTATGAGCAACATCAGTGCTATTGCTGTAATTTGGATGGTATAGTGTCATGAGTCATGATTAAAGTATTGTGACACCCGTGCCAGGCGTTGATGACTTTCCGCGTACCGATTGTTGTGGGCCGGCCGAGTCAAAGTCCAGGGCTGTTTTGTAGTCCCAGTCCGTCCCTGAAAGTTACTATCAAGCCTCTCCACCTGAAACTCACCTGTATTGAATTTATAGGTATTACACTATACAACATTACACCTTGTGTGCAGCAGGCAGGTGAGTGAGTAACCATGGTGACTGTCTGTCTGTCAATCAACAATGTCCCGCCCCCCTCTATGAATTAAACTCTTCAGTAAAACTTACTTTGATCATGTGTCACAGAATGAGACACATGATCCCCTTCGAGCTCTAAACTGAAGCTGTTTGCAAAAAAGCTCATCAGCGTCAGCGTGTGCACTTTCTCAGGAAGCTTAGGAATTTAATGTTGACAGCACTTTTATGAAGATGTTTTATTCCTGTTTCATTGAATCGGTTTTAACTTTCTGTATAGTGACTAGGTAAGGGTCACTCAGCGCCAAAAAACCGCAACAAAATGCAGAGCATTGTTAAACTGTGTGTCAGAATCACACGCTCGTCCCTTTCTGACCTTTCTCATTTATATAAAACAAAGTGTCTTAAGAAAGCTCAGTCAATCTTGGCAGATCAAAGTCATCCTTTGTCCAAGGAACTTAAGTTGCTGCAGCCAGGCCTCAGATTCAGCCTGCAAGCATGCAGGACAAAGAGGATGAGAAACACATTTGTTCCTGCTGCCATCACCTTTTTAAACTACTAACTGTGTTAACTCTGTTTCCACCTGTCTCTTATCTACTGTATTTATTTATTGTCCATTCTATGTTGTTTGCTGATTCCGGGCTGTATGTGTTTTACTGCAAGACAAATTGCCCTCTCTCAGGGATAATAAAGACAACCTTGAACCTTGAACCTTAACTTGCCAATAAAAAACCATTGTGACTCTGATATCTACATATCCCCCCCCCCCCTCTCTAAAATAGGTTAGGTTACAGGCGTACGCGCACTCAGGTAATATATAAAACGAGCCTGTTATATAGATAAAGAAAGTCAGCCGCTCTACATTATCTACAGTGCATCGAATCAAACCAAAATCTCCAAATTGGAGGAGTTACGTCAGGTCTCGCATACATTTTAGGAAGTGTTTTGTGGTGTAACGCTTCCACGTTTTATGTCAGGGAGGGAGTCACACAGGAGCAGTTACACCCTGATTGACCTCATACATATTATAACCTACAACAAACCACCACTGTCACATGATCCGACTACAGCCTCACCATCTTTCAAACACTGCAGAGCAACATCTCCTGTCCATTAGGCTACTCCCTGGACTACAGCCCATCTGTTTGGAGGTGAGTCTGCTTTAAACACGCAGGTGTAAGAGGGTCATTTATTTATAATTCATGAATTTAAAGGGGAATCTACAGGAGTGACTAATAAAGTCAATCAAAGAGCTCTAAATGAAAGAAGTGACAGTTCATTTTTAAATCAATTGTCTCAGGCAACCGATATGATCAGTCATTCGACCTGTTTTTAACTTTGAAATGATGATTAATCCTCATGAGGCTACAAGGTTATATTTCTGCTCAAACTGAGCATTAAGGAAGTCAAACCTCTGCCTGCACTGTTTTTAAAGGTAAAGAAAGCGTCCAATAACAGTGAAAAACACATGGAAGCATATTGCATTAACATGAGAAAATACAAATCTGCTCTGTTTTAAAAGTCAGGTGAATGCAGATACTGTAGCTACTTGGATTTGTTTTTTCAGTTTCATTTATCTAAATGTAAACTTGCTCCACTTCTTAGAGCAATGTTGTTGTTTGTCTTAGTTACCGGTATGCACCTCCAAATGTAGTTATGTTCATTTTTGGGTTTATTCTGAATTATTTAAAGTTCCTGTGATGATTTTTTTTTTTTTTTTTTAAACCTTCCTTTTAAGTTTAATAATCGTTCTAACATCCCCGCTACAGGAGCTGGAAAACGTGTTTTCACAAATATAATAATGCCATCATTTCTAGATAAATGTAGTGTGCGCACATCCCGTGGTTAATTAGTAATTCCTGAAGTGCCAGAGCGGGGAGGAGACAAAAAAACATGTCCCTGAATACACAGATCTTCGGGCACACCTGAGCATTCACAATAATCAGCAATGTACGAGATACAAATAAAATAAAATATAAAAAATATGCAGACAGCAGATTAAAGACAAGATAAAGCAACACACATATATACAAAATGTACAAGAATAGTAAGCTAGTTATTGCACAGTGACCATTGCAGCATGTTTAAAGAGCAGTAAGAGCTTCATTATTTTCTATCAAGTGGGAAGAAGTGCGTAAAATCACGACGTGCATCCGTCTCCCTCTCTCTCCCCCCTCTCTGTCTCTCTCTCTCTCCCCCCCCTCTCAGATCCTGTGCTGGCAGGATCTGGTGGTTGATTATCTCACTCTTGTGTTGACTTTAGGTGTTTCCATTGAAACACAGCCATTTATTTATTCAACATGCACTCTGTTAGTAGATCTATCTAAACTGTAAGATTATTTCACTGTCGACTGCCCAACTCCTTCATTGAACCTTCTGTAGGCTACATTTTGGGTTTTAATATTTTAATTGAATTTTCCTAATTGTTTTGCACCAAAACCTCAAGTCAAGTTCCTTCTATGTGTAAATGTACGTGGCAATAAAAAAACGATTCAGATTATTGTCTCACCCATCTCATATCTGCCTCCTCTGCTGTGATGGATTCCTCTGGATTTAGTTCAACCTGGCTGGCTTATGTTCAGGTATAATAAATGTTTTTTGTCTTCACTTCCTTATTGATGTCACAGTATAAACAATAACTCACAGCCATTTAACTGGCCTCCTGTATTTGTCTCAGTACACTAGTACGGCACTTTGTGTGTGTCCGACTCCGCCACAGGTGGGTGGCGATTTTCAGATATCAGTTATCAGTTAGTTACACTTGGACTTTGTTACAGTTGGCCTATTACGTCACATACCCAATAATTGAAAACATCCATGGACTTCAATGTGTTTCAGTATAAAGTAACAAAATAGTACCAATTAAAACGTTTTCTTAGAAACAATCTTCAGTTAGGCATCAAGTAAGGTCTTTTACCTGTTTTTGTAAAGTGTGTCGAGATAACACTTGTTATGAGTTGAGGTTAAACAAATTAAATTGATTGATTGATTGATTGATTGATTGATTGACTGATTGATTGATTGATTGATTGATTAGGCTAAATGTACATGTTTCCTTCGTGCCTCCATTACTGCGTGCCTGCAGGTAAACTAACCCTACCTTAAGTCAACCTTTTGTCCTCAAGTGACTTCAGTACATTTCATAAGACCATGTAACCTTGGCACACCTGATTGTGAGAATTTGACCATCAGTATGAACATTGTAATTATGTTCCTGTCAAACCTCAAGCACCAAAAACTTGTTTTGTTGTAAACTCCCTGTTTGGTAACAGATAATTATCACATTCTCAATTGACTAGATTAGTTTGATGTTGAAATCTAGACATGATGACAAACTATAAATATTCAGAGGTTTTTTATGACTGAGTGTCTTCAAGAAGAATTCATATGATAAACTTAACACAGAGTCTGTTTCCCCTTTTTGTTGTTTTATTCCAGTACCAGAGGACTCACCATGTGGCTAAAAGGTTTTATAAGTAACCATGTCAACATGAAACTTCTGAAGACCTGTGTCATCCTTCTCCTTCTGACTGTGTTGTTCTTTACACTAAGAAACATGGACCTGCTGCAGGTGAGAACTGGGATTATTGGTAACACTTTAAAGGTGGTCATTGAGTGTCTTTCAATGTACTAAAGTGGGGAATGGGCCCCCCTGGGGGCTCCTGAGACACTGAAAGGGGGTTTGCGAGATGCTTTCCATAAACAAATAAAAGTTTTAGGATTTGCAAAATGCATATTTTACCCATTATTGTGAAAATACATAGAAAAAGTAGTTGAATTTAAAAAACAACGATAGTTTTTAAGTAAGATTTATGCTGAAATGAAAGTGATATGTAAAAAATCCATTAAATGTAAGTTTGTACAGAAGTGCAACAATGAAGGTGTTCATCTACTCCCTACAAATAAAAACACACAGATTCAGCTGTCTACTTCATTATTACATTTTGTATGTCCACTCAGTCCTTAAGTTTATACATGGAGATTACTTGGGTTCTGCTTCTAGCCTTTCTTACAATGAATTACTAAAATATGGACAGTGGGGCGCCCCAGTCTCCAGCACAGTTATTTTGAGGGTCCCAAGCTGAAATGTTTGGGGACGAATGCTAAAGTCCCGATTGAAAGAGTTTGTGTTGAGGAGACAGGCTGGCTATTCATCAACAAGTGACATCAGGAGGGTAATAATGTCATAACTGTGAGGACCAGAGGGGTATTCCATGAAGCAGGATAAATTCAATTCTATTAATTTCAAGAAACTTTGATATAAATTGTATATCATTGTATTTACATTTTATGGTAGGCCTACGGCTTTAATTTGACATTTCTGTAGGTTTTTAAAAAATATTTTGGGTGTTATAAGATTGTAGATTGTTGTTAGATGTGACAGATATATAACATAGGCTTAGTCCATAACTATAGAAATAAAGTTATTACAACACAAGCTTAGTCATTTTTTTAAAAATGTAGATATTTTAGTGTAAAGAGCGTAATAAAATGTGACATATTGTACATTTCCTGTACACTCCTGGTTTGATAGAAAGATGTGCAGAATCACATAACTAACAGAGTGACATCTTGGTGGCACTCTGTTGTCTCAAGTGACTCACACATCTTGCTAGTTGTTGTCTCACTCAGACTGACAGTTATGTAGCAGTGCAATTGCTCATACAATGGAAAACGGAGTTGATGAAGGGGCAGAAGTAAGGATCCTTTGTTTTTTTGTCCCCTGACATCATCATATTAGATCCCGAGCAATTCTGTCCCGAAACACTTTTTTTCCCCATGTTGAGATCATTGCAGTGGATATTACTTCAGTATTTTATAGAGTGGCCCTCAGTGTATCGGCCTGGTCTTATAAAATGTCTATAATCCGCCTTTAAATTAATAATGAAACAGATACAGAAACACCTAACTTTGAGAGGGGAAAGTAGACAATATATAAATGGAAAAAAATAAAACACAACTTTGATCATTGAAAAGAGTAAATAAGAGAACAATTGTAAATGAAATGTTCATAAGGGGAGAGCATGCTGTAAGATCAAGAAATGTAAACGACTATTATCCTTAGGTCAAGTTAAGAATAATTCCAAAGTGACTTCCAGCAGATTAAAGTTTTAAAAATAAACAGTTATTAATAATACAAATTTATTTGGACAAATATTCCATCTTTTTTTTTTGTTTATTTTATTTTAGTTAATTTGTTCGATGCATCTTTGTCACCATCCTTCTTTTTCAACTCCTTGCCAGCGAAATTATAAAGAAAACTCTGCCATCATCAACAAGAAAGTGACTTCTACTCAGCCCACTGCTCCCCACACTGCTCCTCCCACTGCTTCTCCAGTGCCTGACAACTTCTGCACCTTCAAGCCATTGTCTTCTGTAGAAGCTGAGGAGGAACGTCTCATATTGGAGTCCATTGCTTGGCCTGAAACTCCTCCTCTGCCAGCTCCTTTTTCATTGAAACAGACAACTCACGCCGCCCACAGCACCTTCATCATTCTCCCAGGGGGGGTTGGAGACGAGCGGCATGTAGGAGACCAGCTGGAAGTTATGATAAAAATGTACGACTTCCAAGGTAACCCCAAGAAGTCTGGAGGAGATGCAATTGTTGCCCGTTTGCACAACAGGGCACTTGAAGCAGGTGTGGCTGGACGAGTGGTGGATCACCTTAATGGCTCCTACTCTGCTGTATTCCCTTTACTCTGGGAAGGAAGTGCACAGGTTGAGGTAAAGTTCAAGGCTATATCTTTAAATTGTTAATGTACAATAATTGATGCCAAAATAATTCCCTAATGCAATGTCCTGTAGGTCATTTAATTCATGAAATCTAAACCTTTCCCCCTGACTTACTTTTGCAAACAAACAACAACATAAAAAGTAAGAAAAAAGAAAAGACATTGTGGAAGTCTTAAAAACTGCTGTTCCTCCAATTGCCTCTTCTGGCGGTCTCTAATGAGTTATTCACCTTTGATCCCGTTGTCAAAATATCCAACTTTACAACACAAATAAACATGTTTTTTAAATTTTTTATTGAACTTTTTATTTAACCAGATAAATAACTCATTGAGATCAGGATCTCTTTCACAAGGGTGACTTGGCCAAGAGGGCAGCAGCACACGTCATAAAAAGCATTACATGATAAAGAGACAGTTTACAAACAATAAGTTAGGAGAGAACAACAATTTACAAATTGCAAATTGATTTACAGATAAAGTGCAGAATCTTGATCACAGAGTACAATTCAGAAACACAGATACTGTCCAATTGTCTCGTGTTTTTTATCTTTTAAGATCGAGCCAAAGGCTTCAAGAGCTCCGCCATTTTCAAGTCATTTTGGAGAAAGTTCCATGCGGTGGGAGCAGCAAAACTAAACGCTCTTTTCCCGAGCTCAGTGCGGACACGAGGCACAGACAGTTTAAAGACATCACAGGAACACAAGGCATAGTGGCTTCTGGTTCTTTGAAGGTATGAACATAGATAAGAAGGCACCAAACCAAGAAGAGCTTTATAAATAAGCTTCAGTCAGTGTATATGCCTGCGCACCTTCAAAGATGGCCAATCTGAGTTAGTGTACAGGTCACAGTGATGAGTGAAGCGTCTACAAGCAGTCTTACAAAATGTTATTTTCTTCTGCTATTCTGGAAAACTTAACATTGAGGAAATGTATTTACCACAACGGTTAAACGTTATTAAGCCAGTAGCTTTTACCTGAAAAATAAAATATAGACTTTAAACAAAAGTAATGCTACTCAATCATCACTTGAGTGGGCCTCCATACATCTGTAGTGGTGACTGTGTCTCCAGACAGCCTGTCCTTTGCCTGCATTTTAATGTTTTGGTTTTCTGGGTGTGGAGTGGATGTGCTTCCCCCTGCCAATGTCAGTGTGCAGGTGTGTTTAGGAGTGGATACAGTTCAGTTATTGGTTGTGATTCAGCCCCCCGCTAATAAGATTGATGTGGAAGTAGCAGCAATAACTTAAAATATAATCATAGTGAGGTGAGACGAAACGCTACACGGATAAACCTTGTTCAAAAACGAGGGTTGTCTCTCACTCTCTTACAGAATTGGCCTGCATTCTGTTGGACATGCAGATGTCATACATCGGTGGTTAGCTTGTGCTAGCATGCGGTATTGCAATGTACAAACAGGAAACTTACACACTACTCACCTGCAGTGAGTGTGTGCTTCTGGGGACGGTGAGCGCAGGAGGAGGGACCCAATTTGGATGTTGTGTTCACAAGCTGCAACAAACAATGCCACTGACTCTACCTTTACATAAGACATCAGTAGAACACTTTAATTAACCTTTTTGTTGAGTTGAATTACTGAACTAAAGAGGTTGTTGTTGTTGGATCCTTTTGGAGATATTTTCATGCAAATGTTTGTCATTTGATGTGACTGTATGTAAAAATGTTTCCTGTGGGCCAGAGAATGGTGTGAGGATTGTTGAATGCTTTACTCCACAGACAAGTGGAGTTTCTATAATTGTAAGAAAACAAATTCTATGTAGGTTCCGTAGCCTATTGGGTATGATGTGCACCCAATTTACATCGGGTAAAGTCCCCTTTGCTGCGGGGTTCAAATCTGACCTTCGCCCTTTGCTTAATGTCATCCCCAACTCTCTTCTCCCAACATTTCCTGTTGTTGTCAGCTGTCCTATCCAATTAAGATGAGACAGGTCCAAAAATATACATGTTGATGTAAACAAGTTCTACTGGCCAGCTAGTGGGGAGTTGACCATTTGCATCAATGTCTCTTAAGCTTCTAATTTAAAATAAATGAACAACTTCAGTCAGCTGACACCAAAAATACAACTTTGTTTTCTAATTATTCAATTAATAATTAGTAGGCATGACTTGTTTGCTATAACTTTAAACTCTTGTTCTTTGTTTTATCAGGTGACGCTTGTCCACTCAAGCGAGGCTATCACAGTCCTCCGTAGACTAAACAGAGAACATCCTGATAGGACTATCTTAAAGAGCCTCTTCCGCTCAGGTTCAGTCTCTGAAACTACCATCTGTAATATTTGTCTACGTCAAACCAACCAGCCACAGTGCAACTACACTGACCTCCATACTGGTGACCCGTGGTTCTGCTACAAGCCAAAGGAACTGAGCTGTGATGACAGGATGAACCACATAAACGGAGGAATGGATATAAAACTCAAGGCTAATGAGGCGAACCTTTTCAAAAGGTGAGGGAGCACAGCAATAGAAACGATGCATCTAGTTTTACATGTAATGACTATAAACAAAGTGTAAAGTATGTATCTCCTGGGGGGAAATGTCGTGTTTGTAACTACAGGAGGCAAAGATGAAATCTTAAGATGTTTATAGTGTAAGATAATACCTATCAAAACACAATTAAAGTCTCTCTCATCAAAAAAACTATAAAGTGTATCCATGGAGTCCAAATATGTAGGCAAAGTAATTTATGGTGACTAAATCACATTTGACATTTACATATTGAAGTGTGTTTAAGAGATTCTTAATCATGGGAGCTTTTTCCCCCCAGCAATGTCAACATGCAAGTCTTCATTCAGGCTTCAGGACCGGCCAATGTTACTGTGCTGCCTCAAAGGAAAGGTAAAGCACAACTTTTCTACTTTCAACTAAAAAAAAATCTCCATGTGACCTTGAAAATAAAAATGTATACAACCTAACTCTCTGTATTCAAGCAGATATACATATAAGGCAAAAAATAAATAAAAATAAACCAGCTTCTATCTATAAAACTGAGGAAGAGCTGCAAGTGCTTATCTCATTTACGCTAAAAAAAAAAAAAAAAAAACAGTACCAGTGTACTAATAAAAAACTCAAATCACTTAACATGTGTAAATAATTTACTTTAAATAATTAACATTGTCAAATAAAAAGCATTTGGTAGCATTTTCCTTAACCACAATAAACATGTGCATTCGAGACATACACTCACTATATTGTAGTAAAGCATAAACTTAATCTTTTTAAAAACATCAAAGAACTCTGTAGAAGCCATTTTAATCATGGTCCATTTAATTTAAGAATTTTGATTTCAGTTCATGTTAGTAAAACACAACATTTAGATCATAAGAAATAAGAATATCATTTACAGTAAATATTTCAGAATCAAGTAACAGATTGGCTCCTACTAAGTGATAAAAACTGTTTATGAAAGTTGCCACTACAAATGTTTTTGTGACATATGTATAATGTCCTCATTAGTGTAAAGTAAAATGAGTAAGGTAAAGCAGAGACCTTGTTTTGGCCTTTTTAGGGGATCTGTTGACAAATGATACAACAATCGTTTAATAACCAAATGCTTATTTTGATCAACAATTCTCAGAGCAACCCATGGATAGTCTAGGCAGTGGGAAGTCTGGACTCTCTGGGTATTACTACCAGGGTGTGTGGCGACCACTAGGTGGCACCAAAGTCCACCAATTCAACAACTCCTCTGCCATCAGTCAGTGTCTGAAAGGAAAGGTGGTCCACATGTATGGAGACTCCACCGTCAGGCAGTGGTTTGAGTACCTTGATGCTTCACTTCCAGGTAGTTGATTCAGTGATTTCAGGCAACAGTTTAATTGTATTTATTTCACAGCTTAATCTGCTCCTTTTTTCATACTTTCAGATGCTAAAGAGATAAACCGGAATAATCCGAAGAAATCAGGACCTTTCATGATATGGGACAATGCAAAAAACATCTTGGTGAAGTTCCACTTACACGGTCCTCCTCTGAGTATTTCCGTCCTTATCCCAACCAGTGAGCTGCGTTACATTGCCAATGAAATAGATGATGTAGTTGGTGGCACCAACACAGTTGTAATTTTTGGCATCTGGGCCCACCTCACTCCTTTCCCAATGCAATTCTACATCAGAAGGCTTTACGGCATCCGCAGGGCGGTGATTCGTCTGTTAAACAGGGCTCCAGACACGCTGGTGGTCATCAGGACTCCAAACCTCAGAGGTACAAACCCCAATATATTTGCCTTTAATGACTGGTATGCTATTCAACAGGACAAGGTGGTCAGAGCTGTGTTCAAAGGACTTAATGTTCAGCTGGTGGATGCCTGGGAGATGGTTCTGGCCCACCACCTGCCTCACTACATTCACCCACCTCCTCCCATCATTAGGAATATGGTTAACATTATATTGTCCCACATGTGCCCCCAATAGTGCATTTAATAATAATAATAACTTTATTTATATAGCACTTATCTAAACAAGGTTACAAAGTGAGTTTAGGTGCTCTGATGGCAAATGCCCGGTCGCCCTTGGTAACCAGCCTTGATCTAGGATCATTACTCTTGATGATCTAAGATTTGGCTCGGAGCATAAGGGGTTAAAAGTTCTTTAATGTAAGGGGGGAGGCTAGACTGTGTTGTGTTTTAAAAGTTTTTAAAATAATTTTTAAATCAACCCTGTAAGTAACGGGCAGCAAATGGAGGGAGGAAAGGATTGGGGTAATGTTGGACCTGCAGTTTGCATTTGTTAAAATCCGAGCAGCTATGGAAAGCCGATTGAAGATTTAATAGATATCCTTGATATCAAAGCTCAGTTTCCTGTACTAGTCAAGTCTTTGGCCGCACTAGTTTACTAGTAGAACGTTGAAAGACTTACTAGTAAACTAGTAGAAGGCAAAAAGTCCTACATGTTAACTAGTAAGGTGCAAAATATCTACTAGTTAACTAGTAAGATATATTTTGTGTCTACTAGTTAACTAGTGAGCCTAAAAATGTTTACTAGTTAACTAGTAAGAGCAACAATGTCCACTAGTAAGCTAGTTTGACTCTTTTTAACCTTACTTGTAAACTAGTGAGGTTCAAAATGTTTACTAGTTAACTAGTAAGACCCAAATGTCCACTAGTATCACTAGTGATGCAGTTACAAATTTTACTAGTTTACTAGTGAGGCTCTTAAAGTCCACTAGTTAACTAGTTAGTGCAAAAAGCCAACTAGTAACACTAGTTCAGGACATTTTAGTGCTACTAGTGAACTAGTGAGGCTCAAAATGGTTAACTAGTTATCTAGTAAGAGCCAAAATGTCACTAGTTACACTAGTAGTACTCTTTTTGGCATAACTAGTTAACTACTACGGTTTTAAATGTTAACTAGTACTACTAGTGAAAGCCAAAATGCGTACTAGAAACACTGGTTGAAGTACATGCTAATGAGTGGGTGGGATCAGGGCACTCTCTGAACCTTATCATTGGTTCTCCATATAGACCTCCACCTTCCACAAATTTAACCCTTTGTAAGAAGGAGCAAGTGCTGTGAAGCAACGGCTTCTTCCCTACTTTCCATGGAGAGTAAAACATGAAAATTATATATATATTAAATGTTAGAATTGTTTTATAAACTTAAAATAAGATAGAAGATCATTTTAGAACTGTTCTCATGATTTTCTTTTTCCTTTTTTATCCCATCAAGACAGTATTTACAGAAAACATAAGAAAGAGTACATCTTGAGGTCAGTAGAGTGATAAAAAACTGCCCAAGGTGCAATTGTAAGTTAAAAATGAATGTGTAAATATTTCATATAAATTCATGCTGTTTTTAAAAAGGAAAAAAGTTAATCAGATAAAATTATGGACTTTAAAACAACTGGAACTTGATACAGAATTTATGTTCTTGTACTTAATACGTTTTAATTTGGCCTAAAGTCGGTAAACTAAGAAAAATAAAGGGATTCAAGATTAGGGCCACGTAAAAGGAAAAAAACCTAAAATTTAGAGATTCAAATAGTTAATTTATGAGAATAAAGTAAAATGTACGAGATTAATTTCTTGTTTAAGTCTATATCAGAAGAGCAGCAGCCGCCTGTTCGAAAATGATAAACGTGGATGCATCTTGTTATAGTAAAGGTTTAACAAATAAGGAAATAGGCTCCTTCCTTGTGTAGTCTGTAAAAACAGTTGGGAAAATATATCGGATAAGTTGTTTTATCGGCACATCATCATCACAAATAAAATATCAGGACCCTGAAAAGATACTGGAAGCAACTGTAACTTTTGTGGCAGAGGAAAATGCTTTAGGGGTTCTCCTTTCATCATTTATGCGCAGGCGGAAGGCTTCTCTATGATAGGCTACAACCTAAAAATGTACATTTTCGTAAATTTATGACTTTATTCTCCTAAATTTACATGTTTATTCTCGTACATATACAAGATTAATCTCAAATTTTTTCTTTTTTTTTCTTTAAGATGGCTCTACTCCATCGTATAAAAATGTAATTTTATTATGTAAAATGAAGGTTAAAAATTGTACTACTTGCAAATGCCCCACAGATGGGGCTATACGTATATATACTGCTAATGTCTACAGTACTAGTACTACTAGTTGACATTTAGGCCTTTACTAGTGCTACTAGTCGCACTAGTCGCACTAGTCGCACTAGTAGCACTAGTCGCACTAGTCGCACTAGTCGTACTAGTCGCACTAGTAGCACTAGTCACACTAGTCGTACTAGTAAGAGCCTAAATGTCCACTAGTAGTACTAGTGCTACTAGTACAACTAGTGCTACTAGTAAGAGCCTAAATGTCCACTAGTAGTACTAGTACTGTACACATTAGCAGCATATATAAGTATAGCACCATCTGGTGGGCATTTGCAAGTAATATCTTAATTTTATGCTTTAATCATAAAAACATGACTCCTCATATGATAAAATATGTCATAAAATATGTATGTTGCTTGTGCACTTATATCTGCTCACTGCCATATGTATCTTTTCTGCTGGGCTTACTCGAAGCTAAACCAAGAAAATTTAGCAAGTCCATAACATACCGATCCTGCAACTGACACCTAATGGCCGAAATGCATATCTCTCTGCAGCTACTTATTGTATAAGGGTTATTTCTCCAGATGTAAGAGGCTGACTTTATATTTATAAAAAAAACATTAAAACATTTATTTCAAGTTTCAGGCTTGTTACTTTTTTCCTGTTATATTTTCTTATTCACATTAGTTTAATAATTCAGTATACACTTGTCCTAAATCCTAATATTTTATTCAATATTTTGCATGATCATCTAGCAGATAAACTAAATATAAACACATTTCTTTCATGATTTAAAAAAATTATTTTTAATTTTTCACTTTGCAAGTTTCAAACTAGTATATCTTTCATATTTTATATTGCCATATTTTCAATGGCAAGAAAAAAGCTAAAATCCTTGAACATTAATGTTGTGCAAGATTTTATTTTATTCAATCATACTACTATATATAAATATTAAGTGATGGGTTATTGTTTATTTTTTGACAAATACTGCAATAATGAATAATCATTAGTGATTTTTAGAACAAATAATACTAAGTTTAAAAAACAAAAAAGTTGAAAAGATGAATAACAATGTAACATCAGATTTGGATTTAATCTGTGCATGGGTCATAAAATTCTATCAAAGGGCATTCAGTGAGTTACCATTTAGTGATAATATAACATGACACAAATGAACAAACCTTCAGAAATTAGTGCTGGTTTAACCGAAGGTACTATTCAGATCTGGCCCTTTAAGGCTGGAAAATCGCAGGTTTGACATTGACCAATCAAAATCCTTGTCCCGCCTGCTTCATTATCATGCGGTCAACTAGTGCTACTAGTACTACTAGTGGACTGCCAGTTGACCTTTACAAGTAAACTAGTAAGGACCAAATGTCCACTAGTTACACTTGTAAAACACATTTCGACTTTACTAGTAAACTAATGATGTTCAAAAAGCTTAACTAGTTTATTACTAAGGGCATAAATGTCACTAGTACCACTAGTTGCAGTCTAATTGACCTTACTAGTTAACAAGTAGGGCTCAAGATGTTTACTAGTAGTACTAGTGAAAGAAAAATGCACACTAGTATCACTACTTTGGTCTTCAAGGCCTTACTAGTAAACTAGTGAGGCTTTAAATGCATACTAGTTAACTAGAACGAGTCAAAATGTCCACTAGTTTACCAGTTAGACCATATGTGACCTTGCTAGTTAACTAGTGAGGCCAAACACAGTTAACTAGTTAATAAGTAATTGCAAAATGTCCACTAGTTGTACTAGTAAGGGTCTTTTTGGCAGTACTAGTTAACTAGTTAGATAAATTGTCAGTCACAAGTTAACTAGTAGTCAACAGATCAGACTACTAGTTGACATCTGTGTTCAACTAGTTAACTAGTAAAGGGTTTTAACTGTTCAGCATGTAAACTTGTCAAATTATATCATTCAACTAGTTTACTAGTCAAAAGCAAATGTCCACTAGTATGCTGTTTTGTCTGCAACTAGTTTACTAGTGCCACACAAAGTCTTCAACTAGTTTACTAGTGAGGCCAAAAAGACACTAGCTAGTTTAACTAGTGGACAAAAAGGCACTTACTAGTTTACTCGTAAACTATATAGGGTTAAAACCGCCCTCAGTAGTGTGACTAGTTGACATTTTAGCTACTACATGTTAACTAGTAAACGTTTCCGAGCCTCACTAGTTAACTAGTAGGTTTAAAAATATTCCAACTAGTGTTACTAGTTGACACATTTTATCTTACTAGTGACCTAGAAAGGTAAAATGCATCTTCACTAGTGTTACTAGTTACCATTATGAGATTAACTAGTTAACTAGTTAGCATTTGTGTCTAACTAGTTAACTAGTAAAATGAAAACAGATATCGACTAGTAAGATAGTTCTAATCCTGCAATCCAACTAGTTGACTAGTGTGCAATATGTAAATGCAGTGGGTGGATTATAACCAAATCCTGGGTCCTGATTTGATGTTATTTTTGTTCTTGATTTTTAGAGCCTATCATAAGCCTCAATCCACACTTATCCCCCACCTCCTCGTTACCATTTTGTGCAACAATGTTACTAGTGACATTTTAGATCTAGCTAGTTTACTAGTAAAATATTTAAGTCTCACTAGTTAACTAGTACGACTTGTAAAGATGATACTAGTGCAACTAGTGGACATTTGTTCTCTTACTAGTTAACTAGTGAACATTTAGAGCCGCACTAGTTAACTAGTAAGACTAATAAAGCCATCTCTAGTACAACTAGTGGACCTTTCTGCTCTTACTAGTTAACTTGTAAAAACTTTTTATCCTAACTAGTTAGCTAGTATGGTCCATATATATGCCTTTCTAGCTTACTAGTGGACATTTTGCTCTTACTAGTTAACTAGTAAACATTTTTAGGCTCACTAGTTAACTAGTAGACACAAAATATATCTT